CCACAGAGAAGGCTCTCCCCCTGGGGGCCACCAGTCGACATTGTTTGGCCGACGGCACCCCGAGGAGCCCCTCTCTATGGGAGCAAACTGGTCGGTGAGAGGCTACTGGTGGCAGGAGGCGGTCTCGTAAGTACCCTGGTCCTGAGCCATGGAGCACTCTAAAGGTAGTAACCAAAACTTTGAAGCGCACCCGGAAGACCAGTGCAGCTCGCGCAGGAGGGGGGTCACATGAGAGCGCCACATCGCTCCCGTCACCACCCGCGCAGCCGCATTCTGGACCAGTTGGAGCCTCCGGGTGCTCCTCAAGGGGAGCCCCATGTAGAGAGCATTACAATAATCCAGGCGTGAGGTGACAAGGGCGTGAGTGACCGTGCGTAACGAGTCCCGATCCAGAAAGGGACGCAACTGGCGAATCAGGCGAACCTGATAAAAAGTCCTCTTGGCCACGGCCGTCATATGCTCTTCTAAAGACAGTCGTGAGTCCAGGAGGACGCCCAAGTTGCAAACCCCAACTGTGGGGGCCAACAACTCGCCCCCAATAGTCAGAGATGGCGCCAACTGACTATATCGGGACGACGGAAACCACAGCCACTCGGTCTTGGATGGGTTGAGCCTGAGTCTGTTCCTCCCCATCCAGATCCGTACGGCCTCCAGGCACCGGGACATCACCTCGAGGGCATCATTGGGGTGGTCTGGGGTGGAGATGTACAGCTGGGTGTCATCAGCGTACTGATGGTACTTCACCCCAAAACCACAGATGATCTCACCCATCGGCTTCACATAAATGTTGAACAGAAGGGGCGAGAGGACCGATCCTTGCGGCACCCCACATACAAGGGGCCTTGGGGTCAACCTCTGCCCCCCTGTCAACACAGACTGCGACCGGTCAGAGAGAAAGGAGAACTACTGTAAAACAGTGCCCCCCACCCCCAACTCTTCCAACCGGTGCAGCATGATATCATGGTCGATGGTATCAAAAGCCGCTGAGAGGTCTAATAGGACTAGGACAGAGGAGCAACCCCTGTCCCGAGCCCTCCAGAGATCATCAACCAATGCGACCAATGCCGTCTCTGTGCTGTACCCGGGCCTGAAGCCCGACTGGAACGGATCTAGATAATTCGATTCATCCAGGTACTGAGGCAGTTGTCGTGCAACCACACTCTCAACAACCTTTGCAACAAAGCGAAGGTTGGAGACAGGACGATAATTTGCTAACACAGCTGGGTCCAGAGAGGGCTTTTTGAGGAGGGGCCTCACCACCGCCTCTTTCAAGGCAGCGGGAAAGACACCCTCACTCAAAGAAGCATTTATAATCTCCTGGAGCCAGCCTCGCGTCACCTCCCGGGAGGCCAGTACCAACCAGGAGGGACACGGGTCCAATAAACATGTGGTCGCATTCAGTCTGTTCAGTATCCTGTCCACGCTTTCGGGAGTCACAGGATCAAACTCTTCCCAAATAATATTCTCAGGACCTGCCCTTGTCATCTCCCCTGGATCTATCCAGTCAGAGTCCAGCTGTTCTCGAATCTGAGTGATTTTGTCATACAGATATTGTACAAAATCCTCAGCTCCACCCTCCAAGGGGTCTTCCCATGCCCCTTGGTGGAGCAGGGAGCGGGTCACCCTAAACAGGGCGGCTGGGCGATTATCTGAATCTACTAAAAGTAGTTACTCTTCTCTACTCTTATCGCCACTAGGTAATTCTTAATATGAGATCTTACCAGTGTCCGGTCTGATTCAGAAAGACTAGCTCTCCAACTGCTCTCTAGGCGTCTTTTCTGGCGCTTCATCTCCCTCAGCTCCTCAGTATACCAAGGAGCCAGGTGAGACCGGCGCCGGGTCAGAGGCCGCAAAGGCACGACTCGGTCCAAACCCCAGCCGCCGCCCTATCCCAGGCGGCCACTAAGTCCTCAGCCGAGTCGTGTGCCAGAACCTCAGGAAATGGCCCAAGCTCCATCTGGAATCTATCAGGATCCATCAGGCGCCTGGGGCGGAACCACCTGGTCGGTTCCGCCTCCCTGCGGCAGGGTGTGGCGGTTCAGAGGTCCAGGCGAAGGAGGGAGTGATCTGACCATGACAAGGGTTCAATCACTATATCCCCTATCTCGAGATCACTCGACCACTGTCCAGAGACAAAAACCAGGTCCAGTGTATGTCCCCCCATGTGAGTAGAGCCATAAATTAACTGGGTCAGGTCCATAGCCGTCATGGAAGCCATGAACTCCTGAGCCACTTCAGACGTCTCGCCGACTGATGACAGGTTAAAATCCCCCATGACCATAAGCCTGGGGGTGTCAACCGCCACCGCGGCTATAACGTCAAGCAGCTCAGGCAGGGCTGCTGCCACGTGGCAGGGAGCCAGGTACGTGACTAGCAAGCCCAACTGAACCCTATGACCCCACTTCACAAGGAGGGACTCACATCCAGCCATCTGAGGAATAGTGGCCTCCCTCGGTCCAAGACCTTCGTTAATAACAACCGCCACCCCTCCACCCCTCCCCTGTGACCTTGGCTGATGGAAAGCACGGAAACCTGGTGGGCACATATCAACAAGGGGGGCTCCCCCCTCCTGGCCCAACCAGGTCTCCGTAATACCCGCCAGGTCCGCACCCCCCTCCTGAATAAGGTCACAAATGAGGGGGGCTTTATTTACCACGGACCTGGCGTTGCACAGCATCAGCCGAAGGCCTGGGGCCCGAGGTTCCGTGCAACCTGGGGAACATGAAGAGCTTTGAGGGCCGGAGCGTGCCACCGCTTGTAACCAGCGAGGACGCACTCCCGCAAGATGATGTGGCCCCCTGCTCCCGCAATATCTGCCCCTCCCACCTACAGTATCAATGTTATGGCCATCTGTATTGTAATCTCTAATCCTCTCCTTGACCCCCGAGTCCGTACCTCCCATGCCACGCCCCTCGGCTGGCCCAGATACCCTCCCCCGCAGGTCTTCCCCTGAACCCACGCAACCTACCCCCCTCCCAGAATCTCTTAAAATCTTATTAAAAAATTTCCCTAAAAAACCCCATAACCCTCTTTTTGCTGTATGCCATCTCTCCGGACTCCAAAGTCCATCATCGAGATAGGCCCTCGATAAAGAAGAGGGCCAGACCTGCGAGAGGGGGGCATCTCGCAGTTTGAGGAGTTCTCCCAATGAGTACATTTTGTAGTTAGATAGTCCATAGTTGGTAGGCATGTCCTAGTTATCCAGGGTCCTGTGGAGAGAGTATCAATCAGAGGTACAAGTCATTTTAGTCCCACTGATCTCTCACATCAGTGGTAGAAAAAACTTAAGCCATTTTGAACTCAGATGTAAACATCGGTCACCCTCTCACGGCAACCAGATATAAGGGAGAAAAACAGCAGCTTTAGTCCTGTTCTTTCAACGTTGTACCTAGGCACAGATGGAATAGCCAATTCTTGAGTTCAGAGACACGGATAGTCTGTGGGAAATATATAGTAGGCGAAAATCAGGGAGACTCAGATGACATAAAAGTAGGGAAACTCTCATCCTGACATACAGGAAACAACAAAACCTGGATAGCAAATGATCACAAAAAGCCAATAACCGGCTACAAAAGGGGCACGGGAGATAAAAATAGAGGAGGGGGAGATGGAATAAGGCAGTCACTTTGCAGAAGCAAAGCCCCCCATGATAGACACAACAATCCTCTTCTAATCACCTTAGCCTCCTTCAGGTCTTCCATGCATAAAGGTTTAACACCCCCCCCATAGAAAGAGAGGGGGAGGCCTCTGGGAGGCGGTCCAGGGCAGGCCCAACAATGAAAGGGTCGGCATCCCTCCGTCGCCCAGGAGTTTCGGTTGAAAATAGTTAGGCAGGTCCCTACTCTCCTGTTTGTGGCCTCTTTGGTCTCCACTGCTCCCATTACCGCCGTCTGTAACCGCCGCCTGTAACCGCCATTTTGGGCGCCGTCATCACTGCCGCTATCACCATCGGCCTCCTCCGCGCCGACTCCGCCCACCGCTGGCCTCCACAGGCAACTCCTGTCCTCGCCAGAGACCAACGGAGTCTCGCCCAGGGTGCCAGATGGCCATCGCAGCCGCGCACTGCCATCCCTCCGGCAGCCTCCGATGAATGCAGGGCCGGCTGTCACGAAGCTCCTGGCCTGTCTCACCGTCTTATATCCCGCCAGCACCGCCCGTCTCAGTACAAGCTGTTCCGGAGAGCGAAGTCATAAACTGCTCTCCAAAAAGGTCTTCCGGAGCCGAAAATGCTCCCATCGGATCGGCGAATTTGCCCTCTCACCACGCCATGGGCCATAGGTGGACAGTTGGCCCTAAGGACCCCCTAACCGCCAGGACATCACCCCCGCAAAACTGGAGCTCCATCGGGAGTCGCCATCTTGGGCATGCGCGAGAGCTTTAACTCTAATATCTTTAACTTTAATATCCAAAGTGTATTTATTTATTTATTCAATTTGTACAGGTGCCCATCTCAAACAAGTGACACTGGGTGGCAAACAACCATAAAACTAATTGAACCATTAAAAACAGAATATGACAAGAAAAATAAATACATATACATATAGGTACATATACATACATACAAATGTATATGGGAAACAACCATAAAATTAATTAAATCATTAAAACAGAATATAAAACAAAAAATAAATACTTATACATAAAGATACATTATGTCTATGGGATGTTTATGTCTCCAGATATATGCCACTCGTGTAAAAATCACTATATAAAGAAGATAAAAATTCAATCAAAAGAGCTACTTTTAGACTTTCAAGATTCTGTTAATATAGCCTTAACAATAAGGTAGAATTAACACATTTAGTCATGGTTCCTGTCTGCTTTACCTGGGAAGCTACCACACAAACACATACCCCATAAAATCTCCAGACATTGTGTCAGACCTCCCAGGTAAACCAGACAGGAAACATGATTGATTTAGTTAATTCTATCTTATTGCAAGACTACATTAACAGAATCTTGAAAGTCTGAAGGTAGGCATTTTGACTGAACTTCTGTATTCTTTATCTTATGCTTGCCTTAAATGGGTGGCATGTAATTGGGGACATATAAAGGTCCCATAGATACAAGAAAAAACACTTTCCCATCAAAAATCCTAGTCTATCCATCAGTAGAGTTCATGGATTTGCAGTGTTTCATTGTTCATCTATCCTGGGGAGATGATAGTCAGTCAGTGACAGCTCAAACAAGCAGGCGGGATTCAGGCACCACGTGGAATTTTGTCCAAGCTTCTAAACAGCCTAAGAAGAGACAAATTACATGGCAAAATCAGTAAACCATATATTTGATAGAAGAAAAACTCACATTTGCAGAAATTCAACAATCTCTTAGTCCAATCCTCCATACTACCAACCTGCTGCAGCAAATTAAAACCAATTATACCATAGTTAGCATCTGCTACACAACACACGCAGTCTCAGTGCCATCTTCAAAACTCAAAGGAGAACTTCATAGTAGAGAGGTCCATTCTTCCAATGATCTAGAAGCACAAATACCAGGATTTGCTATAAGGTCAGAAAGTACAACAGAGCAAATTCAACTATTACAAATAATTGCTGTAAGTTGTAGATGGAACAAATCAAGGGCCATTTCCTGAGATAGAGTAGAACTTACCTTCACCCATCATTGAATATAGGTGGATCAACGGCGGAGGATGGGAGGTCACAGCTCCTCTACTGCTAGGTCACGTCCATGGAAATGAAAGTTGAGGAAACTGTTGTGGAGGTTAATAAAATCAATGAACTGTGAACCTTTGTCTCTATGAATTTCTACTTTAACAAATGAGCCTTTAAATCATTTAATAGTAAATGTTTTTATTTATATAATAAAAACATAACAATATATATATATAATTAATAAACAGCACTTAGTTACTATGATTAATTATCCTGTCAGCTATATATCTATATCTATATCTATTCTCTCTAAGCTATGTTATCTATGACTATTCTTCCTCAGAAGAAATGTTATTATAAACCACCAGAACTGCTCTTCTAACAGACTTTCAAACTGCTCACAGTTGTTTAACGGAAGATCCTAGAAGAGTTAAGACCTAAGACCAAATAGCTAAGACGAGTGAAGATCGAAGAGCAAAGAATTTCTGACAATCGCCTTTTATACTTCTAACTATGACAGTTAGGGTAGGACCCTGGAGATTTAAACATATTAGCTGCCCTGTGATTGGCTTATGTATCTGTCCATTCCAAAAGCCATTAATAGGCACAGCTATAGAGAAATAAATTTTCTCTAACAGAAACTAAGGAGGGAAGTTGAAAAATGGCAGAGGACCTTATGGCTCCAAACAAAGGGAGAAAATTTGAAAGACAAAGAGATATTGAAATTTAATCTGTTTGCTACATAGATGGAAAACATACACAGGTTTTCCGCCTATGGTAGTTTTCCTCAACTTATGACAATAACTGAGCTCAACATTTTGGTGGTAAATCATTGCAGTTTTAAATCAAGTCACTACAGGACAGTATTCGATTTTACAATCATTTTTACAACAGTTGTTAAGTGAATCACATGGCGATTAAGTCCAAATGTAGATTATCTAGTGGCTGTTTTTTGCCATTTTTTTATTTTGCTCTAAAAACAACAAAAACATCTCGAACTGTGATCATGTAAACATTGAATGCTTCAAATGATCATAAATTTGAACTTATTGCCAAGTACTCAAAATGTGATCATGAGTTTAGGGTTGGTGTGACTGTCATAACTAAAAGGACAGGTCATAAGTAACTCTTTTCAAGTCTGCCATGACTTTGAACAGTTGAACAGCAACAGGTCGTAAATTGAGGATTACCATTGGAGGGGTAAATCAAGCATGGGACTGATTTTCTGTCACTTTATGTGCTGATACCCTCACCCCTTCTCCTTAGTGTTCTAAATAGAGTTACTTTCATTAATGTTTTCATAGGTCTTTGTAGCATTCCAGATTTCCTTGGGAACTTCTGGAAAAGCCTGCTGGACTTCATTGAGCTGTAAGATAAAGAAATGCCTCACACTGTTGCCAAGGTGTCTTGGGCAGTAATTCTCCTTCCCATGGCCCATCACACAAATATTACCAGCAAGACACCCTCCCCAGAAATTCCTCAAGTGGAATGAGAGGAAAAAGACTCCTCCCCATAAACACTTTGGTTCCAAGTGAGTGGTTATTAGAGAGTGGAGTCCTAAGAGCAGCGGGGACTCAAAGGCTACAATTCATGGCACTTTAGGTTTGCTATGTACATCGATCCTGGGATGATGGTTTCCACAGTAGAGGAGCTGATTTAGCGCCGGTGAGAACAATCTCCCATATGGGTCAAAGTGCTGTGGAATTGACAAAGGACACTTTTGCTCATTTCTGAGACCCAAGAATCTCACTGCCAAACCACAATGTATTCAATTTATAATACATCCTTCTCTCAGCCTCTGGGATTGTCCAGTCCCTCTAATAATGCTCCAGCATTCCTAAATTTTATTCCAAAGAGATCCCTGCCTGAAGAACAGCAACTTTTGTGACAAGCCAAGTTCTCATGGTACTTGATGCCTGTCAACAATTCTCTAGTTATTGTTCACACAGGGACATAGGAGTTTAAACACTTGATTCTGTGAATGTTTGCACTCATCAAGCTCCTCATGGGATTTCGGGGCCCTTACCTTCAGAATAAAAATGAACTGTTCTGTGGTGGGAAAGTGTCGAAGAAGGCTTCTGAGCGTGAGGCCAAAGGCCTCCTTGTTATATTAAAAAGGATCAAGCCAAACAACTCCATATCAATAGAATCAAAATATATGTTTTATTTTGTTTCTAAAATAATAAGTCTATCCTTTAATCTTCTTTCTAGGTATATTGTATCACTGGAACACAAACGAGAGTGAAGTACAAAGAGAAGGTGAGTACCTTTTATATCAGGTGGGAGGGGAAAGTGGAACATTGCATTATGGGACATGTAGTTTAAATAGAATATGTTATATTGGTGATGTTTATTCCAGATTAAAACACTCTGGTATTTCATCTCAACAATGCCCCTTCTAATACCAGATTGGTTTAATCAAAATAATTACAAGTACTGTAACTATAATACACTATTTATATATTTACACATAGTCTCTTTGTTAAATACATATGCTGATTTGATGGTAGTGGTTTAATTAATATATCTGCGGTTTGTTCTTTCGTTTTACAATGTACCACTTTTATAAATCCCATTTCTGATAACTGTCTCACATGTTTATATTTAATGTCTATATGTCTGGATCTTTGACCAATTGCGTCAGCTTTAGATATGTCAATGGTGGCTTTGTTGTCTTCCCGTATGATTATTGGATATGCAGGCTCTTTCCAAATGTCTATCATTAAATCATCGAACCATATTAAATTGTTTGCCGCTTTTGACAAACATACAAACTCTGCTTCTGTAGTTGAGGTTGATACAAGCTTTTGTTTTCCCATGTACCAATGTATTGGGCTTTTATTTAAATATATGATATAATCTAAGGTGCCTTTTCTCATTTTAATGTCACTAGCCCAATCCGCATCTGCATAACATGAGAGTATTGGTGACTTGGATATGCTTGGGATGAGTGTTAATGTGGTGTTCATTGTATGTTTCAGATACTTTAGCAGTCTTTTAACAGCTTTCCAGTGATATACCTTCGGGTTATTTACATGTCTAGATAGTAAGTTGACAGGGAAAGATATATCGGGTCTGGTCCAATTAGCTATATAGAGCAATGAACCGATTGTTGATCGATATAGTGTATTTTCATTAAAAATTTCATCATCATTATACATATTTCTTATAAAATCAGCCTGCATAGGCATATCAGATGGTTTAGCGTTGGTCATGTTGCATTTCAATAACAATTCTATTTTTTTTTCTTTTTGGGATAGTATGAAACCATTCTCAGTTTTGGTAATTTGAACTCCCAGGTATTTATCAACCTTTCCCAATGATTTTAGTGAAAAATGTTCATTGAGCTTTTGAGCAAATTGATCACACTTGGATTCACTTTTACCGATGTACAAAATATTGTCAACATATACCTTTTTCATAGGAACCTTGATCTCTCCTGACATACACACATTTGTCAGCTGATGTTGCGGTGAAACCTAACAACCTAAGTGTTTTAGAAAGACAATCATACCAACGCTTACCCAATTGTTGCAGACCATAGAGACTTTTCTTTAATAACCATGTTTTGCCCTCATCTTGGTCAATTCCTGGTGGTGCTCTGACATAAATTTTTTTATCTAGTTGTGCATGTAAGTACACTGTCTGTACATCAAATTGAAACACATGTTCGTTTAGAATTGATGCAATGACTAGTGCTCTTTTTACACTTTCTGACCTGACTGTAGAAGAATAGGTATCTGTGTAATCATCTGGAAATCTTTGAGAAAACCCTTGTACTACAAGTCTTGCCTTATATAAATTTTTGTTATCTTCTAAATGTTTTATCTTGAATACCCATCTCGTTCCAATTGTTTTTTTGTGTTTGGGAACTGTAGCTAGTGTATATACTTTTAGTGCCCTTATACTATCCATCTCTTTTTGCATGGCATTTTTCCACTTTATTTGTTCCTCCTCGGGAAGAGTCAAAATGTCCTCATAGTTTTTGGGCGTAGTGACATCGCAATTAATGAACATCACATAGTCCTTTAAGATTTTAGGTGTGTTCTCTTTGTTTGATCTAGGTGATCTTCTGATGTTTTTGTCTGCATTATTAGTATTTTCAGATGATTCGTTGGTGTCCTCTTTATCAATGTCTCATGTATTAATGATGTGATGGCCTTCTTTCCAATCCTTAATTGCTATTTTATGTTTGATTGATTTGTTGATGTGTATGTGAGGTTTTGATTGTGTTTGATTATCTTTATATGTGTGTTTATCTATTATGATTTCGTTTGAATGTATTTTGCTCTAGTTTGCATTTTCATCAAAATTCGCTGATCCTGAAATTATTATTTTATGATCGTTGTCCATAAATCTATATGCTTTGGTTTTAGACTCATAACCTATGAATCTTAGCCTTTTTGAGATTTTGTCCCTTTTTTTTCTAAATTGTTTGGGAATATGTACGTTGGCCATTACCCCAAAAACGTGAAGGTGAGATAATTTGGGTTTGCATTTATACATGATTTCATATGGAGTTTTTTGTATTACCATAATACAAAGACCATAATCTATTCAATGTATAATTTGAACATAGAACGGCCTCTCCCCAATATGAAAAACTTAATCCTGCATCTTCCAACACACACCTAACCATAGTCTGTAAAATACAATTTCTGCGTTCAACTACTCCATTTTGATACGCCGAAAACGGTGAAGTTTTGTCATGTATCAAACCATTTGTGTTAATCCAATTACCAAATTCTTTGCACATGAATTCAGAACCTCTGTCTGTCATTATCTGTTTGACTTTGATATTATGTTGAGTTTCGACTCTCTTATAAAATTCTTTGAATTTTGCAAATGTTTCGCTTTTGTGTACACAAGGGTGTACACGAAAGGGTGGGTGTACATTTATTTTATTTTTATTTTATTTTATTTAAATTTGTATACCGCCCTTCTCCTGGTGGACTCAGGGCGGTGCACAGCCAAGTAAAAAACATCCAATACAATAGTTAAAAATTTAAAAGAATTATATCCTTTGGCCGAAAAATTAAGAACCTTACGACTAAAACCCATTAAACAATTAAAAATCTAATATCTCAAAAACGGGGGGGGGGGGGTTCATGCCAGCCCTGCCTGATGGAAGAGAAAAGTTTTTAGGGTGCGGCGAA